GTATAAGTAAATATCAGCACAGTAAACAGTCCAAACTGGTGCCCCAGTGCAATTAGCATGGTGCTAGTGAAGAGATTACAGTCACGGTCTGGCAGCATGAAATGGGGGAATACAGAAACTACTCTTTGTGTGGGGCCTGTCTCTGCTAGATCCTGTCCCTGGAGAGCCGAAAGGAGCTGCTGGTTTTGAAACTAGAGGAAGCAGAAAAAGAAGCAGAGCTGCACCTCACCTACCTCAAGTAAGTTTCGGTAGTCTCAGAAATAGTAACTCGAGTATTCCTGTGTGCCCGTTTGCTGTTCCTCTGCTTGTACTGCAGGTTTGACTTGAAATAGTTCGGGGTTTCTTGTGGGTTTCTTTCTTAAACGGCTGTGACTCTGTGCATGTCGCAGAACAAGGGCACGTGGGGTTGTGCTTATTCCCTGCTGCCTTTCCTCTGCTGGACATCTGCCGCGTTCTCAACGTGATGGCACTGTATTGGCTGTAGTATTTGTGCCTGTGTACCAGATCAGTCTCTGCACCTTAGTAGCACTGCATGCCCACCTCTCGCGGAGGTCCTTGCCTGGGTTTGAGCCCCTCTTCCTGCCTGGCCAGAGTTAGGGGTGAGCCCTGGTGAGGAAAGGCAGGAGGGTTTGGGGAGTTAGTTGCTTCTGGCTGCTCTCGCTTTGCTAACAACGAGAACACAGGTGCAAGAGGGAAAGTTGAATTGTGCTTACAGGTCTGCACCACCCACGCTGGAGACCATGAGGCCCAAGCAGGAGTGGGAAATGAGGCTGAACAGGATACGAATGACCAAGGAAAGCGTCCGAGTAAGTCCCTGGCAGGCAGTTCCCAACATGACAGTGAGCAGTTTGTGTTAATGCTACTTTACCTGCTTAGTTTCAGCCCTCTTTAGGAGAGGACCAAGCTGCAGGAAAGGGTTTGTGCCCCAAAACATGGCATAGTCAGTCTGCCCTTGAGAGCAGCTGCAGAGATCTTCTACACGCCTCCTTGGGCTGATGCATGTGGATAAACCACGTGGATACAAAAGCAGTGTGTTGGGTTAGTGGCAGAGGCAGGTATTCCTCCCTCTGAGTCTCTCTTTTTTTTTTCCTTTTTTTTTTTTCTCCCCTCCTTTAGTCTGGTGGAGCTGTATCGTGTCTCCTTTAGGGTCTGCAGCTGTTCCATGACTGAGAACACTTCACCCAGGCAGCAATGGCAGGGGAATTCACCCCTTCTAAGCATGCAGCACCCACGACTTCCTCAGGCAGCCGCTTTGATAACTCTGCCTCTGTTTTCTTTCCTCTGTGTTAGGATCAGTTCAACGACCACATTCAGATGGTGAGAAACGGCACAAAGCTGAGCAGCCTCCCACAGATCCCAACCCCAACCCTGCCACCTCCACCCTCAGAAGTGAGTGCCTCTCCAGCCTAACAAATACAAGCTTTGGTTGCTCTGAGGTCAGTGCTGGGAGGAGCCTGCCTGCCTGGCTAACTGGCACTGCCTGTGCTACGTGCATTGAAGGAAACTGCAGGATTAAGTTTTCTAGAGTCCTGTGCCTTGTCCTCTGAGGCAGCTGTCTCTGGGGAGAAGGGTCTGCGCTGCCCTCCCTTGCCATGAGGAGTATAAGTGCCAGGGCCTGTGGCTCAGCCCACCTCCTGCCTGGCTGGGGTGGAAGGTGCTCACTCTGCTTTCAGTTGGGCTTATTCTAACCAGCCTTTCCTTCCCCCCTGTTTTTCTTTCTCAGACAGATTTCATGTTGACGGCATTCCAGCCCAACCCCTCCCTTACTCCCAGGCTCCCCTTCCCCATCGGTCCAGTTCCCGTTCCCATGGTCATGCCAAGTGCTGATCCCCGAGCACTCTCCTTTCCGCTCCTGAACCCTGCCATCTCCAGACCTAACCAGCCTTCCCCGCCGCTGCCTGCTTCCCAAGGAAGAAACAGCCCTGTAGTGGCATCGCTTATTGGCACGCACAGTCCTCACATGACTCCTGCTGCCTCCATCCCTCCTCCACCAGGTTTGGGAGGAGTTAAGGTCACTCCAGAGTTTCACATGCCACAGCCAGCTGATAAGCTGGAAAAGCTGCTGGAGAAGTTGTTGACTCGATTTCCGCAGTGCACCAAGTAAGTGTCTCGCGTTATCCTTCCCAAGGAACGAACGCTTGCGTGCGGGATTTGAGCCGAGATAAAGGGAAGCAGAGCTTGTCTGGGAGCACGAGGGGTTCTGCCGGAGAGGGAGGGAAGCCAAGTCTGAGGACGCTCTGTAAGCTCTCCCGTAGCACTGGGAACAAGGAAGGTTTGGAGCTTTGTTTAAAGAAGGGCCGTGATACCTGAGCACAGCAGAGTGTGCTCTATATGCAGCCCTTCCTCAGGCAAGTACGTTCGCCTGTGTGGCAGGTGGGCACTGTCTCTCGCTCCAGCTGGGATTGCCACTCTTCCCCCAGCATTTTGGAGACAGAAGCTCAGTGTGTAATTTGTCTCATTTAGGGTATCGACTGTTCTCTGTAGACAGTTGAGAGCACACAGTCCTTTGCTGGGACACAGGCTTCCCCCGAAACCCGGACTGGGATGGCTGACGCGTCTGGAGCGATGTCGCAGATCCTTTGGCAGATGGGGCCCTGTTGGTGGGGGCCAGCTGGGCTTCATAGCGGTGGGTGGGAGCTCTTAGCAGGCTGCTGTTCCTGCAGGGCCCAGCTCACCAACATACTGCAGCAGATCAAGACTGCCCGGAGGACCATGGCGGGACTGACCATGGAGGAGCTGAACCAGCTGGTTGCGGCAAAGCTGGCGGAGCAGCATGAGCGGGCAGCAGTTGGGGCTCAGGTGGGAGAGCTGTGGGGATAGTGGGGGGCCACCAGGCTCCTTCCTGGGGGAGGCAGTCTGGGCAGCAACGAGAAGCAGCGCTTCTTGCTCCGTTGGCTGCAGACTGTGCTGCACAGGGCCCGCTGCTGGGAGTGTACAGAGCTCAGGCTTGGTCTGTGTGCAGCAGGCTTGTCCCAGGGGTTCGCCTTCCTACTGACTGAGGAGCAAAGCTGGGGTGCGTTTTTTCCCTGAACTAACTTGGGGTAACTCAGCTGTCTTCCTGGACTTCCCTGATAGGCCTCTGTTTGCCTCACTACAGCCACTCAGTCGAATCCGGGCACCCATGTTTTCTGCTCCTCTGCCTCAGATCAGCACGCCCATGTTCCTGCCCCCAGCCCAGGTGGCTTACCCTGGATCGGCATCGCATGTAAGACTTTTTGGCTTTCCTAGAGTGCCTTAGCATCCCCAGGGAAAGCCAGCTGGGGAGGGAATCTTTCCGAGAGGGGGCCGAAAGGAAGAGACAGTGAGGTTGAGCCCTCTCTCCTTGCACAGCTGCTCAGGCTGGTGAGGCAGAAAGGAAGGGTTAGGAGCATGGGCCCTTCGTGCCCTGCGTCAGGGGAGAAAGGAGCGGATGCAAGAGGTGGCAGAGGTTCTAACATGGGATGGCTGTGTGCATCGGGAGGAATTGGGCAAACTGTGGCCCCTGGCTGCGGCTCGCGGGACAAGTAGCTGGAATGTGAAATACGTGACCTGAGCTGGGGCATCTGACTTCTGTGACTGACTGCTTTGTGTTCTCTCACTGCTTGTCCCAGACCCCAGCTGCCTGTAAGCTGTGTCTGATGTGCCAGAAGCTTGTGCAGCCTGGTGACCTGCACCCCATGGCCTGCTCGCACGTGCTGCACAAGGAGGTGAGTGTGCTCCCCCCACTCAGCGCTTCTCTTTGCCTTCTCTTGATGTTCCTTGCAATGGTTCCTAGCACCTGTCCCTTCCCAGGTCGCTGAGCATGCGTAGCAAGTCCCCAGGAGTTTGTGTTGTAATCAGATCCCACCAGGAGGGTGTAATCAGTAACTAACCTTTTTGTGCCCTGTCACCCTCTTTCCTCACTCCTAGCTGGACCACCCTGAGTAGCTGTTTAAGTAGTGGCTTTTAAAAACACTGTGTCTTATATTCTTGCCTTAGAGCCTGTGCTTCTTGTTTGGAGAGTTAGATCCTGGCCTTTTTCCTGGCCAGGATCCTGGCCACTTTATCCTGGAGTAGGATGCTGTGGGAAGATCTCGAATACAGGGTGATAGAGAGAGCTGCCTGTCACCCAGCTGTCTGGGTGTCGTGGCTCTGTGTGCCTGAACTGTTGGGAAGAGGAGAGACTCTCTCCTCTTGTGGTGCTGGCTGTGGTTCACCCGTGTAGGCAAATCCCTCCTCCTAATGGTTGCTTTATGGCCCCAAGTGACTACTGAGGAAGCGGAAAGCCATGATTCAGGAAAGCCTGATGATGCTACTAGATTGAAAAGGGCTCTCTCATCAGGGTGACCCTTTGACAGGGGCTGTTTTTAGGGAGCAAAATAAACCATCCCTTAAAACGAATGCCCCTTGCCAGCACTGCTCTGGAAAAGTAATGCCATGCTGTGCTCACAGTGCCTCTGAGTTGTGCCAGTGGCTCTTGACTAATTCTCTCTTTTCCAGTGCATCAAATTCTGGGCACAAACCAACACAAATGACACTTGCCCCTTTTGCCCAAGTCTCAAATGATGGCTACTCGAACAAAGCGTCCCCACTGGAGGAGTTGCTGTGAATAGACAGGATCAGTTCTAAGATTTCTACAGTTCTATATTTATACGACCATGTATACACATGTACATTTTTATTATATAGGTAATGTGTGTATAGAAAGTCTGTATACATACAAATTCATAAATAAAGTGTGTATATTATGCAGTGATTTGCTGCTGCCCCTCATTTCTTGGTTGTTCATAGCCTTCCTGGCTTCCTTTCTAACGTGTTAAAAACCCGCTTGCTGGGCCTTCATCGGTTGCTGTAACTACCTCTGTCCGCTTCCCACTTGGCTTGCAGCATGTCCTTCCCTGCGGGAGCACTCCCAGCAGCTCTGCACTTTCCACAAAGCGTTCCCCTCCCTGTGCCCCAGCAGACCAGTCCCTCTGCCACATCCATCTGATGCTGCTTGTGCTCACAGGGTAGTTCTCCTTCAATGAACAGGTTGCAGACAAGAATTTTTGTGTTTTTTAATATAATAATAATTTACTGTGTTAACATTCATTGTTCTTACATAGACATTAGCTTACAGAGTACTGAGTACTGGAGTCTACAGCGGCAGCTGGGGGTAACCATCCCCATCCCTTCTCCCACTGGGCAAAGTTATGCTCATGCTTTACCTGGTGCTTCCTGTTGTGACTCTGGGCCCTGGGGAGGGAGTGCTTAGGAGTGAACACACTTTCGCTGCACTGCAGCTCAGGATAACCAACCTTTTGCAATCCCCATTTTCCCCTCTCCTGTACTTTCTCCTAAACATGGGCTGATGCACCAGCGCCTTCTCTATGGATTTTGATGGGATTAAGAGGTGCTCAGCACCACTTTAAAATCTTGCACTTACTCTGTAGATTTTTTTTTTTCTCTCCTTTTCTTTTGCAGTCTGTGGCACAAAACCAGCACTGCTAGAAACACCTACGCCTTGGCAGTGGTTAGTGTGAGCGCTGCCTGTGCACAGCAAGGCTGAACTTGGCCACAGTCTGAATCTTTCTACACGCGCACGCATGCCTCTTGGGCATGTTTTAAGGCAGTGGTCCACAGCGTTGTCTCTCGGATCCTGGGGAGGGCCCGGGGCAGGCACGAAGGAGTGGAGGTCTGTGTGCACTCTACAATTGTGTAACTTTGCCCCCTTGCACTGGAGTCGAGCTGCTAGATGATTGCAGTTGTGGAGCAAGGCAGGGGAACGGGATGCTATGCAAACACAGTAGTGAAGTGGAACAGCTTGGGGCACGTGTAATGGGCTGCTTTTGGCGTAATGCTATGGCTGGCTTGGCCCACCTATGCTCTCTGACATAGTATGTGTCCCTGCCTCCCTCTCTGGCTCCCTTGTTGCTTTCTCAAGGGAATATTTAACTAAAGGACTTTGTTAACAAGCTTTGTGCTTGGTTTCTAGTGGAGACCTTTAACTCTCCAGCCCCTAGCACCTGTCCTCTCCTGAAATGGTTGCTCAGCTCTTGCGTGTAGATCTGCTGGCCAGCTGCCACCTCTGCTCAGGCCCAGGCCCTGCAGGTAGCGCTGTCCCTCGCTCACAGAGGAACGCTGCCTTTTTAACTAGTGAATCTCAGTGTTTAGAACAAAACCTGACAGTACTTCCATGTCAAAATCCTAGGTGGAACAAACAGGGAAATAGAGCATTACCAGCTGCCTGCAGGATCCTGAGAGTCTGCCCTGGGGAAGGGGCGACGATGACTGTCAGTGCCACTCTCGCGGGGGCTGGGGCAGTGTGAGCAGGCCTGGGGAGCTGTGACTGGGGGAAGGAGGGGGAAAATTCTCGCTTCGCTTATGAACAAGATGGGGGCACAAGAGCCTTCTCTGCTCTATGTCCTTTTGGCTTGTGAACCACTGCTCTGTGTGATCTGACCGTGCCCTCTTCCTGCATGCCTCCATCGTTGTCACCAAACCAATTACAAGACAGACATCCACTGAAACAAACTCCAGCTCACCTATGATCCATAAAGTGCTTCCATCCAAGCATACTGTTGCTGAGCTAGTCCTGTGCTTGGGTTGTGGCCGAGGCACTAGGACTGAGCAGAGGGCTTAAAATATAAAAAATAAAAAATAAAAAAAACCCAGAACCAAACCCTCACCAAAACCCTTTCACATTGGGTTTGGATCAGTGGCTTTCAGGGCTAGAATTAAAACTACAGATATATGTATGTATTGTACAGGTGAGAAGCATCCATTATTTGTACACCTGTGTGCAGTACGGGGCCTGCTATATACATGCTCTGATTCTGCGCAGCTGTACTACCAGTGACTCATATTGTAAAAAAAAATAAAATAAAATAAATAAATACAACCATGTGTTTAAAAAATAAGAAATGCTGCAGTCCCCACAGCCACCTCCTGCCCTAGCCTGTTCCTCCCAAGCCGCAAAGGGTGCCTCACACGCCTTGAGCACAGGAGCCGGGGTCCGGTCGTATCTGCAGCCAGGCGCCAGGACACGAGGAGTCGTGGAGCAAGCGGAGCCGTTGCGCCCCGCGCCGTGGGACTCGCTCCAGCTGGTGAGGCAAGGCAGCAGCTGCAGGGGGGGGCCAGCAGGGCCTGGCGCTGGCTCCCCTATGGCTTTCGAGAAGGCGAGCGGGCTGGGGCGTGGTCTGGCTCTGGGGGCCAGCAGTTCGCTCTCGCCTGGCACTCAGTTTCTGCTTGTACCAGGCTGTGCTCTGCTCATAGGGGAAAGCTCCTTGCTCAATTCCCCCTGCGGGCCTGAGGGACCCCGAAGCGCAAGGGAGGGACCCCATGTCCCAAAGCAGAGAGGCTGTTTTCCTCGGGACTGGAGGGCAGCAGCCACGGGCTTCTCCATGGCAAACACCGCTTGGCGCTAGAACAGGGGTGAGGCAGTTCCTTGTGGGGGGCGAGAGCAGAGCCGGGGGAGGATGTTATGAAGAGCAGAAGGCAGGGGAGCAGGAGGGTGGGAGCGGAGCCACGTTCCTTCTGCTAAGGAAGCCCTTGCCTCTGGCTTCTCATGTCCCTGGGTAGCTCCAGGTTGGCGCTGCGTGGGTCTCTCCCAAAAGTCCAGGGCTGGGGACAAGAGGCCCTGGAGATGCACGCTCTAGAGTCCAGTTCACGCAGCGTCCTGGGGAGGGGAGCTGCACGGGGACAGGCACGGCCACAGCACACGGGCACACACGCACAGATCACTACATGGACAACCTGGGCAGCAGCCTCCCTGCAGAGCAGGCAGAGAAGGGCAGATACACAGGGATGCAGGGGGGAAAAGGGATAGTTGTGGGATGGCTTATCAGTTTAACTCTGTCAGGCTTGGCAGGGCTGGGAAGGACAGCAAGGGAACAGCAGCAGACACCGCACCCAGCCCCTCCAGGGCTGCAGGCAGGATGGCGTTGCCAAGCTGTCACCCCCAAACGGCCAAGCTGTTTCGGTAGGTCCTAGACAAAAGCAGCTGAGGCCTGGGGCTCCCGCTGCTGCTCCTGCCCGTGCTGCTGCCCCACAGACTGCAAGCAAGCGCTGCACATGCTTGCGGCAGGCTGTGGGTCAGCAACGGCTGGTGTCAGGAACGAGGGCAAAGCGCTGGTGCACACAGAGGGGATCCCAGCCTGCGGCTCAGATCAGCTCTCTCTCTGCTCCCCGGTGCTGGTGGTTCCCCCTGTCCTGGTGCCCAGATGCTGTCCTAGGCAATGGGGACACGAAGGCCCGGTCTCAGGGCTGGCATTCGGCTCCTGGCAGTGGGTCACTCTTGTCCTGCTACCCCAAAGGGCACCGAGTCCCCCAGGGCCAGGAGGGCTCTGCACGCCACTGCCCTGCCTTCATGCTCCAGCCCACGGAGAAAGGGCCCACCTCTCCCTGCCCCTGCCCCGCTGCCTCACCTGCAGGCCCTGGGGCTGCCCCCGCGCTTAGGTGTCACTTCAGCAAGGATATGTCATCGGCAAAGTCGTCGTGGTCCCGCCGCAGGCAGTGGAAGCAGCGCCACTGAAACACCATGAGGCAGAGCGGCAGCATGAACAGGGCGCAGATGGCCGCCATGACGTAGGCGATGGTCATCAGGGTGGACTCGTCCGTCTGCGGGATGTTGTAGCCGCAGTCCTCCATATTGGAGTGCAGGTAAGGCCCCTCCACTGCAGCCATCCGAAACTCATCGTGCACTGTGGGCGGGATGGGGCAGAGGTTGGGCCACTGCAATACCCCTCGAGTGTCCGCATGCCCTCTGCCTCCCTCGCCTGCTCCTTACCATGACAGGCACTGACGGCAAAGCCGATGCGCTTGCGGGCACGGTCGAAGACCACATAGAAGCCCTCCATGATAACGGCACCCATGACGGTGCCCGTGGAGGACTGAGAGATGGCGAACTTGTAGCAGTCGTCCTGAGAGGTGGCCACGTCCTCCACTG